GGTGTGAAGTGGGCGGGGCCATTGGGTAGAGAGTGGAACAACTCTTCACTGCGTCTCAACCCACAGGAGCTTTGACAGAACCGGTTTTCCCACAATGTCATTTGTCATATGGCACAAAACTCTACAACACCTACATGCTTCATTAGCTGCTGCTATGATGAAGATGCCTGCAACCAGAGATGAGTCGTACATTTGTCTAGGACGTTGTTTGCACAGTTGTCTGAGCTGATTAACTGAAAGACTTTTTTAATTCCATCTAAGAACTCGTAGTGCTGAAACAGCTGGTCAGAAACAGCAGTAATAGTAGTGAATGGAGACTGGTAGGACTTTTACTACCAACACTCCTGCCCCTGATACAACCCCACCCACTTCTTTATTTACTGAACCTGTATTCCCCAAATGTTCACGTCTTCAATCCGTTCAAATGTTAGTGCAACCTTTTATTGTTGTTATATTCCCATACATCCGAGTATGCAAATACGATTTTTGCTAATAACATCAGGTATTGCTTTTGTACATTTGCTAGAATTCAGTGGAACCTGGTATCAGATGGTTTTTGCAGTGCTTTCATTATGGAACCAATTCCAACCAACCCTCGTGTGCATGAATACAAGAACCTCTTACGGAAACTTCCATGTATACTGATGTGTATAGATTAGATCAACGCTTCTGAAACTCCATTTCAAACAACACAGTTGTTGATTCAGATGTTACACCAAATGTGCTATGCAACTTAATCTGACACTACAAATTGGGCTCATGCACGAACGCTGATGGAGTTCCAGCTGACGGCGCCTTCAGCGGCTAAACGAGACTCGTCAGGATAACGTCATGTCGTTGCAAAAAGTGCAGAGAATAAATCACTTGAGTTAATGGAGATTACTTTTGCACAGCAACACCTATCAGCTAAACCGTATACTTGCTGTAGTTTTGCGATGCCAACAGATCAAAACCTGTTTTAACAGTGGTTATGCTAAAATGCCACAAAAAACTCTGTCTGGCTGAAGTTTGTTGACATCAAGGGCTAGTGCTATTGACCTCTTGTAAAAACAAAAACAAAAAAAAACTCATATCATTCACTCGCCGTCCTAAAAGATGCCTGTCAAACGTTGTGCATACGTTCTGAACGTGTGTCTTTGTGCCATACACGAGAGAAATGGTGCTCTACATCAACGATGCTCATAGAACTCTGATTCGCTTCAAAAATATCACCAATGCTTTGTGCTTAATCGTCAAATTTAACATCATGGGAAGCATTGAGAATATGGAGTGATATAATCAGCATCAGGGAACACAGTAATTATAGTAATTATATAGTAAATAATTAAGAAAAACTTTGACACTAAAAAGTCAGTCACCTGTAGACGTTTTAGTCAAACAAAAGGGCAACAGATTTCTCATAAAGTGCAAATTAAACTAGTTCCAACATACACATTGTCCGACATTCTTCTTATTGCCTGTAGACATCGTTGGCAAGAAGGAAATATAATCATATAGAAAGTTGGGGGCACAGTTGGGGCATTTTGGCAGGGGTGGAAATAACGGTGCTCAAAACATGAGAGGCACTTATAAGGGTGTACTCGTCACCAATTGTTCATGCCCCAGACACTGGTCTGAAAAATTAAGCTGGAAAAGGGGTGGTTGTAAAAAGCCAATAAGGATCAGAAACACTGTGAGACTTGGTCAAATGTTCGTCGTGTTCATGTGACTGAGGAGACTTCAATTGGAAAGTTGCTGGGTGGTAAAGTTACAGCACCCGGCGCGACCACGTCCGCTGTACATGCCTTATATTGTGCACCATGTTACAGATGCATCCCCCTGCTGAAGTAAACATCTGCACAGCCACAACAGTCTACATATATAAGCTATATATATATATATACGATTTACTGCCAAAAAGTCGGCTGCATTTTTGAAGACAAAAACAACAACCGCTTTAATAAAAAGAAAACACCCTGTGGTTTGAAAAACGTACAGAACCACAGAGCTAAAGTTGCTAAATGGCTACTTTCCCCATAATTAATACTACGATATAGTAAATTCATGAACAACTCCGGCGTGCTGACGGTAGACTACAGCGGCTGTGCAGACATTTATCTCACAACCAAACTTTCACTCTGGTAGAACATTTCCACTGTTAGAAACTCATACCCAACATCCACTGTCATCACTTCCCAGCTACTTTTTTATTTTTTATTTTTAAATGAAACCAGTCAAGAGCGGCTGCCAGCAGGTGGAAAACCTTAAACACCACAAGTGAAGCTCCTCCCACCTTCCAGGTGTGAACTGCGAGCGGGTCTGAGTGTCTAAGAGCCGAACATGTTCTGTAAAATAGTGAAATACGTCTTTAAAACTTTACATTCTTCTTGTGTGCTTTTCTACTCTTTTCATACAGTCAGGTGACGTCACCTCTTAAAAAAATCACTATCTTTACAATCTCATTTCCACCTTGGCGGCCCGGCACCAGCAGAACCAGACCAAGAAAAATACCAGCACGTCATCTGCAGAGAGGATAGATATAGTGTGAGGACTTGTGCTTCGGTGAAACACAGCGGCGGTGCAACGGGTCAAGTTTCAGCAATAAAGCACTGAGTAGCAACGTATAACATACCAAAGAGAAGTAAAGCAAGGGCTTGATCATTGACATCATTTTAAACCTTTGAAACACACCAGAAGTCCACATATCAGTCCCTCTGCATACTTCTCACATACTTCCAGAGGCGGCTCCTCGCCGTCTCATTTAGGGCCACGAAAAATATTTCTAGGTCTTGCACCAAAACTCGAAATGAAACACAATCACCAACAACATAAGATGAGTATTTGCTCTTCCTGCATACCCCTGGTAGGACCCTTACATGGGGACAGATGTGCTGGTTGCCCCCACCTGACAGTGGTCCAGGTCTCAGTAGCAGAAAAATGCAGATTTAGAATATTTGTCACTATTTACTAATGTGTACTACTCTGAGATGCTTGATCAATACCAATTTGTCCACATGATGGCAGACAGAAGAACAATGCTCCCTGCTTTAAATATATAATACATTATATACATGAAAGACATGTAGGCAGAGCTGCTCAGTAGTCCCAGAAAGAGTATTATGATAAAACACAAACCGTCCACATCGTTTTTGCTATTTTTTTTTTTTTAAACAAGTATAAATAAATAAATGATTATCAAGTTGTATATTGCCTCCTTGTTTTCAGCAGTCCTGGTAGGTTGAGGTTTCTCGTGGTGTGGCAGACATGCGTGTGAGAGATACGCTGCGGTGAGACCGAACAGAGAGCTGAGGGTTCGTTCTGCGGGTACCTGAAGGTTGTTGGTTCTAAGTGAAGGCTCGATGACGGTCCGAGTGCACTCTCGACTGAAGGCTGCGTCGGAATCCTTGTAGGGGTTCCGTTAGAAACTGAGTGAAGGTTCCATAAGAATACCAGTAAACAGTCCCGTTAGAATCCGGGTGATCCGTTCCATGAGAGTCTGAGTGGCAGTTCCATTATTAAATGAGCAAATGTTCCATCAGGCTTGACTGAACTTTGACTAAATGGAATCTCCGTTGGACTGATTGTTCCAGCTGAATCCCACTGGAGGCGCCGCTGAGCGTGAGGTGACATTTTCATTGGAAAACGCTCGACTGTTTAATTCGAGAGCAGAACACACACACGAGCGTTCATCAGAATGTGGTTGAGATGTGTACGAGTGTCCGAGGTTCCAGTGGAATCTCTGTAAATGGATCTACTGGACCATGACGTGAAGCGAGTGGTCTGGATGTGTGACGCTGTCGCTGTAACCTGCACAAAGCTTCTCTGGTACCGGAGCCAATGAGGCGCTAACACATGCGTGAAGTGTCCAGTTTGTAAAGCAAGCTTCAATTAGAATCTGCATAGTTCTGGAGCTGACGGCTCGGTGAGTTTTGCAGGAAACCATAAAGATCTGAGCGGAGATTCTTACAGATTCTTCAGAGCAGAGATGATAGAAAGCCAGCTGGATGTCTTATACAATCTGTGGCTTCATTCAGAGGCTGGTTTTAAGGACCAGAATGGTTCAGGTTTCACATTCTAGCAGTGCTATACATTCAGCCAGAGGAGCAGCTTTAGGAGCCTCCTAATGCCTAAAGCCCGCTTTCTTCACACACTTTTTTTTTGTGGTTGTTTTTGCGGCTCAGTGAGACCCAATCCTAAAATTCAGCATCTTTAAACAAAGAAGGATTCGTTATGTATTATTGTCTTACATTGCTTCAGAACATCATTAAGCATACGGACATGAATCTGGACCCTCCATGAGCTGGACTGTAGCTGCAGCTTTGTGGCATGAACACGGGGAAGCAAAACACCCGACGCACACAGACATGGGGAAGCCTGACAGTAATGAAGGTTTTGCTCTTGGTCCGTAATGTGTTTACCCTGCCTGAGAATGGTGTTGTATTCAATGTAACCAGCCTGTTCAGATCCGCTGGGCTCAGCTCACCTGAGGCAGGTTGAAAAAGTTCAGCTCGAGCCTGTCGTATGAAACTCCCGTATTTGTGATACAGTCAAAAAGTGGTGGTGGCCTCTCAGGGCCACATCGGTGGTCTACGTTCATGTTTTTGATCCGGTAGAATCCAAACAGTGCAAAGAATGTAAGAACCCCCCCGAAAAAAAAAAGAAAAAAACCTCACACAACTGGAATAATTAGAATGAAAAGCATCACGTAAAGTTCAGTTTGTAGCTCACCGTCGCCATCCGTCCACGTGGCACCACTCAGTCCAGTTCAGTTTGGTTTCAGTGCTGCAATGTCAAACATCCCAATGACACCACAACAGACTCCACACAAGAGCCGCCGGACCGCGGATCCTCCAGCTCAGATCCACAGAACACCGGGTTTCCTTGTCCGCAGAAAGTGCTAAGCCGCTCTAGGTCCAACCGAGTCTTTTGATTACATACTAGGTCCATATATCGTGTGTGTGTGTGTGTGTGTGTGGATGCGTGTGTGTGTGTGTGTGTGTGTGTGTGCCTGTACATATGCATCAGATGTTTACGGTAGAGTTAGTGTTGTTCATATGGACTCTCATCTCCTGAATACTAGTGATAATTTTTTTCTGATGTCCAGCCAAGTTCACTCCTACTCTTCGCAAATCCCTGAAAAACAGTGAACAGACAACAGGCCGCGATTTTTAAGGCATTCTGCCAACAAACAAGGAAAATGTGTAATGCAAGTGATTAAAGAAACAAAATGTAATTGTTTTTCTTGTTTACTTTGTTAACCGGCTTCTCGGTTTAGCGTCGACGTTAACGGCACAGCTTTCCTGCAGTATGTGTTCTCGTCAGAAGGCTCGGCTCTCGCATATAGCCTGACTAAAGCAATTAAAAAGCTGTTACAATACGGCTATGGGAGTTTCCGGATGGTCCCAGAGTTATGCATAAATGTCATACCAATTTTCTGTTGCTATATCTGTCTTTATAGAAGCTCAAACTTGCGTAGCTTCACGGAGCGCTTCCACAGGCTCGCACTCTTGTAATGGATCCTGCATTCTCATTTTCCCTTGACCTTCACAACACCTAATTGCTTCTTTGACTAAAATACTGTATTAGTGGACTGCAGTGGCAGCGGAAATCTAAGACGCACATATGTCAAAGCGGTGTGGAGTGAAGCTGCACCTATCTGCAGGGCTACGTGTGTGTTTGCATGTGCATACGTGGCCTTACTCTGACGTCATCTGAGCCACTGTTTCCAGTGAGGAGTAACCTCCCTCCATGAAGAGTTCGGTGTAGCGGCCCATCTTGATGGAGTCGAGCCACTCGCCCACGGTCTGGCTGCGGGCGCCGCTGTCCCCTTCTACGCTGGCGTGCTCCACTAACAGGTTGGAAACCCTGAGATGCAGTAGAAGACGGATTATACGTGTATTCTTTTAAAAACCCCAACGCTGACTGTCGGCATGCAGGTAAAGTAGATTATCATAAATATTTAGGAGCTGGGTCCACAGATACATTTTCAAGCCCACAGCTGAACTCAGCAGTCCTGACAGTCAGCGGCGAGGCTTCATCCTGCGAGTTATGCACCATCACACAAAGCTGAAAGCGCTGTCCTCTCCAAACTCTTTGTCATTCAGCTCACTCCCCGTGCTAACAAATAGAGCTCTCCCCGCTATCAAACAGAAATGTTCATGCTAGTTAACAGCGTTCTCCACACTGCAGCTAGAACAGGAGCGTGGCGTGGAGAAAGCAGCGTCCTCGCCGGCTTCCCTTTAATCTAGACGACTGTCACATGTCGTTGCAGGGCTGTTAGATACGCTGCTGATTTATTAGCTGTTGTCCTGTTACTGCGTGTCTCAGTAGAAAAGAGAGGAGTCAACAAAACATCTGACATCTTATCTCATTGTCTCCAAAGAAAATGAGCTAATAAGCTGTTGGAGAAACATTCATAGCAACAAAAAACCAAAAGCAACAAAACAAAAAAAAAAAAAAAAAAAAAAAAAAGCCTAAAACCAAACAAAACGAACCAACTTCCCGAAGTCCCCCCCCCTTTTTTTTGCTCTCACACAGCAGCCAGAGATTAAATCCATGCTGGTTTTAATTCTGCAGCTACGCGAGACGTCAATGAAGACTCTGTTTACGTTCCATCTAAATGATGATGAGCCTATTAGCGTGGAGAGCTGGGTTTAATTCACTTAAGAATGAATGGGTAAATTAATACACAGCATTCTGAAGTTGTCGCTGAGAACAAGCACACGTGTGACTGGTTTATTAAACGGCGACGTAAGTTCTCGAGAAACTAAAATCGATGCTACATCTGGTAGAGTTTCACTGGGAGCCGGTGTAACAGCATCACGCCGTCTTAATGTGAAAACCGGACCGACACATTAATTAGATTGTCATTTCTTATAAAGCCTGTCATCCTGTCAGAGTTCCTGACTGATGTGATGCAGCCAGCTTTATTAAACGTCTGCTGTTCTGGTTATTTTCCATAATTAGTCGATCTTAGGTGTCACACTGTCTGAACGTTCAAAGATGACTTTGGAACCAAAACACAGAAGCACTTCTACACTTTTAATTCCACAAAATCTCAGAATCAGGACACGTAGATCACTGTGACTGTTGCTTCCTGACTTCCTGTAGATTCTGTACCAAACAGATTTGATGTAAATGCCACATCCGGGCTGAACCGGGCCGACGGCGCAGCGCGACGTCCTACCTGTGTGAAGAGTTGACCAGCTTTTTTAATGAGCTGGGGTTGCGAATGAGTTTGTCTAGTAGACAAACAATCTCATCAAACTTGGGCCGGTTGCTGCGTTCTCGCTGCCAGCAGTCCATCATTAGGTGGTACAGGGCCTCGGGGCAGTCCATGGGACCTGGCAACCTATAGCTCTCCTCCACCGCTTTTATGACCTGCAGGCAGATGGAGAGATGGAGGAAGACAGGCAGAGGTTAGTTTAAAAAAAAAGCCATGCAGTGGTGCCTCAGGACGGTCCAAATGATGTGCTAACGGGTGAATTTGCTTAAATCACAAATTGAGAAAAGGATAGGGAGCTGGTCATACCCAGTTTATTCTGGCAGTGCAAAACTTTATTCTGTACCAGCGAGGTGAAACAAGAACCCGATAACATGCACGTAACATATTACAGAGATGTAATAGGAAACAAAACATATGCCAACACAAAAAGGGAGAAAAGAAAACCACTGAACCCTGAGCTAGCATCACAAAACCCAGACTTCAATCAAATATTATCTGGAAGACTGAGCATCTAAAGCATTAAAATGTTTAGAGGCATGAAAACCAGAAGACTTTCTCACTGTGTTGGACCTGGAGGAGTTCAAACCCTCCATGTTTAACGTTTGGATCTGACAGAAGCAGCTGATCAGGATAAAGAACTGGACTTCTGTTCAGACTGTTTGACGTAAACGTGATCATCTTATATGTATAGCTACTGAAACTCGCCACGCAGTCACCGAGTCTTGATTACTGTTTAAAAACACGGTTATCAGTTAATCAGACTTGACCCAGTTTGAGGTAACGTGAGTGCAGCTCTCCTCCACCTGATCGCCTACGAAGTGAAAGTCTGCTGCACGGACACGGTGTGGAGGAAATGCAGAGGACATGCTTCGACACATCGCCGCTGAAACTTCTCCACAGCGGGTCCCTGACACACTTCAGCAAAGCAATATCACTTCCAAATGAAGTTCTCCTGAGCAAGATCTGGAATCCTGATAGTAGCTCCAGGGATGCACCTGCTCTCTATTTGACCCTCCACTCAGAACAGCCGTGAAGTTTGGCAGCAAAAAACCCCCCAAACCTCCAGTCCCCCTGCAAGGATCAACAGACTCACATAAAAGCATTATTTGTTTATTTCATATGCCGCACGGCGCACTTAATCATTTCCGCAAGTAACAAGATGCAGCGCGGAATCACAGAAATGTTTTTAGGGGGGAAATTGAGTTGAATGAATAATAAATAAACCCCAGCTCCCTCCGTCAGAGCCTGCAGTGGAAGGCAGGATGGAGTTTTCAGCCTAGTTCTGCCAGCGTAAGACACTGCAGGGAATTGATTTGTTGAGTTCATGACAGCCTTTACTTGTGTCAAATCCACACAAAAGGCAGACATGATAGCGCTGCAACGCACACGCACGCACGCACGGAGGCGCATGCATACGTACGCTCGCGCTAAAGCATGAGAGCGAAACCGCGGCATCAAATGATCAGTGCGTGCTGAGAGGGCGAAGAAGTGCACAAAGCTGACTGGCAGGGAGGAAAGATCAGAGAGAGGGAACGAGAGACCGAGGTGGGAGAAAGAAAGGGAAGGCGGACGAGAGGAGAGAACGAACACAGAGACAGAGATTGCAGTTTTGAGAGACACGCAAAAAAAAAAAAAAGAGAGAGAGAGAAGTGAGAAGGAAAAGGGGGAGAAGAGAAATGGGAAACAGAAGGAGAGAGCTTAGAGAGAGAGAGTGTGAGAGCCTCCACTTTCTTGTGCAGATCAGAGAAAATCCAGCATAACGCTTTCAATTAAACATCAAACGTCTTCTCCTCTCCTCTCCTCTCATCCTCCTTCTCCTCTCCTCTCCTCCTCTCGCTCTAGACTTGGAGACAGACAGCCTAATAACCAAAAGGAGGGAGGAGTCTGAGGCAGGGGATGGAGAGGTCACTGGAGGGCTGTTCCTGCATATGCCGCCGCTGTGAGTGGGCGGGGAGGCGGCCAGCGAGTGCACGCGTGTGGCGTGTGAACCCGGCGACACGCTTATCGCCGCCGCTGTGACGGCAGCTGCAGCATCACGCTAACGCTGTACGCGGCGGTGTTTTTGGCGCCTGATTTTAAGTCGAATTTTGGTTAAAAAAAACCCTAAAAACACATTATTCTAGTTATCATCAGTCACGTTTTTTTGTTTTTTTATTTCATCTGAGCACTTTGGGGTCGCAGCCATCTTTGTGTACGGTTGCCATGGCTACAGGTGTTATTCTGGTCCTATGGCGAATGAATGGAAACACCTCAGTCTCCATGATCTGCCAGGTGACATCACCTGCTGCCTGACGTGTCACTTTACTGAACATAACGAGCTTCTTAATTAACAGCACGGCAACCGGTCGGACCGATAAATCTACGGAAGAAAAGAAATTTCGAGGAAACTGTGATGAGGAGCTGCAGGAAGTGGTTCCACAGACGCTGCAAAACACTTCACAATAAAACAGCTTTTTGTTTTACTCACCCCAAAATAATGCTTAAATATAGTTTTAGTTTTGTTTTCTTCGTAATAAACAGGTTGTCAAGGAATATTTTTCATCTTGGCTGAAACACTGAAAGCGTGAGAAAAATAATTCCACCTGGAGGTTGTGCCGTTTGGTGAATTTATCCAAGAAAGAAACGATCAAACTGGCACAAAACACGCAACTCGTACCACAAGCTTTCATTTCATTCCACACGTCTGGTGAAACTTCAAGGATTCAAGGATTCAAGGTGTTTTATTGGTCACAAACACGGTTATAGCTGGTATAGTGCGCACCTGTTCCACACCGAAACAATAATAAGGAATAAAACACACAAGAAATACAATGAATGTGAATAAATATATATATATATAGAGAGAGAGAGAGATAGAAATAGCAGAAATAAATAAATCAAATTTCCAAACAGTGCAAAAAGGGAACAAAACAAACAAAGTAAATAAACACAGGATGATGTCCATGTACGTATACTTACGTCCTGATTGGACATCTCCCAGTAGGGCCTCTCTCCGTACGACATCACCTCCCACATGACGATCCCGTAGCTCCACACGTCGCTGGCTGAGGTGAACTTCCTGTACGCGATGGCCTCTGGAGCCGTCCAGCGGATGGGAATCTTGCCGCCCTGTGACAAAAACGATATTTATGGGCTCATCCGAACACGTCTGTGGATGTAAGAGAAACCGAGCTTGGAGCTTCCATCTGTTCTGCTGCTTTGGCATCAATAACTCTTGATGTGTTTACTGTAGCACGCTGGTACCAGTGACCTGCTGGTGGATAAATACAGCTGGAGTCATTCAGAAATGTGATATTTTGTTATATAAAGAGAGAAAAACCAAGAACAGACCTTAATTGAGACACTTGTGCTGCATGTGGTCCAACCCACACTTAGGACTAATGAATGCCAATTTGGGAACATTCATGTGACAGAGTTTCACTTTCTTGTACCGAGTCTCTGACTGTCGGGGGGCCTGAAATTCCTGCACTCATTTTCTCTCATCAGCTTTCATCGCAGAGATTCGGAAAAAAAAAGTTCACAGGAAGACTGCTGAGTTCTGCAGGAAAATGTGTTTTCAGCTGATGAGTAATGAAATTAGCTTGATGTGGTATTGATGAACACAGCAGCAGGATATCTCAGGGTCTGATTATCTGAAGGGTGTGAATTATGTTATCCTCACCGCTCCGTCACCGAAGGAGACGGCGACGAAGAAAGAAGCCGAGAGAGAGACAGAGAGCAAGAAGAGAGCGTGGCGGAGGGAGGTGACTGACAGCATATTTGGCGCTAAGGCAGCAGGCCTCAGTGCTAATTGAGTGTTGCGGAGACTGAGCAGAGGACTAATTGGCCCTCCTCCTGCAGGAAGCAGACGGTCTCTGGCTGACAGGACGCCACTCAGCCCGGGATGCACAGCTCAATTTAAAGGCTGCCGCTGTCGTGCGAGTGTGAAAAAGTGCATATGTGTGTGTGTGTGGACTGTATTCCAGTTTTAATCCAAAGTTTGATGGTCGCACACAGAGAAACACAGCGGATTAAATATGAATGAAGACAACAGCGTGGCCTCTTTCTCTCTCTCACTCCGGTGCTAATTAATTAGTCAATCAACAGAAAATTGATTAATTGATGACATTTTCTGGCTTTTTAAATATGTAGATTTTATGCCTTTTCTGTGTTTTTGTGCCGTTTTTAATTGAACATCTTTGGACAGCAGGTCGACAAAAACAAACGATTTTAAGAAGCAACGTGAGAAGCATTTTAGATTTCTTTCGTTTAACTGGCGATTAATGCATTTAATGACAGTAATCATGAGCATAAGTCCTGCAAACACACAGCAGCTGTTACCCGTGTGGTGTACGCAGCCTCGGGGTCGTCCTCCAGGACTCGCGACAGGCCAAAGTCGGACACTTTGCACACGAGGTTGCTGTTGACCAGGATGTTACGAGCTGCGAGATCGCGGTGGACGTAGCCCATGTCCGAGAGGTATCTGCACGCATCAACAGAAAGGAGAGGATTAGACATGAACACAGCAAATGAGTGATGCATTCAGGAACACGAGGTGTGTGTTGGGATGGTGTGTACCTCATGCCGGAGGCGATGCCACGCAGCATACCAACCAGCTGGATCACAGTGAACTGGCCATCATTCTTCTGTAGGAGAGAAGAAACAAACAGGAACATGTATTCTTAATGATCTTTGGTCCGGTGTCGTTAATTAAACTACTGAATACAGTGAAGGATTATAATCAATGGAACTAGTAACAAAGGGAGAAGGATGGAGGAAAAGATCAGGAGTGATATAAGAGTTAAAAGGATGAACTCTGAGTTCTGCAGAGCTTCTCCTCACCGCCTCATACTCTAACTTTATATAATATATGCACCACTTATGTAATAATAATAATTATTCAGGAAATTGCAGTGGAACAATCTGGTTAAGTTCACGTTGTTTGTTCTGGAGACTTAAAGATGCATAATCACCAGACGGAAGACACGTCCGACATCTGCAGCGACACGCAGCCTGTTAACAGCCACTTAGAGGTTGCCCTGCAGCACCAGAGCCTCACAAACACTGATCACCGCAGAGCTAATTACGCTATAGCGTGGCATCAAAGTCCATAACAAAGAGAAGTCTGCGTGCATTCTTTAGTTTTACATCTGACAGACTTTTTAGCACATTAATGCAGTTCACTTTCAATTACTCGTAATAATGGAAGTAGACGGCGCCGCTGTGTGTTCATGTTGAACGGTTTATTTGCATAAATGTGACATATCACATGCTTAGCTTTTCAAACAAGCCCTGAAGGTAGACAAAGAAAATACTACTAAACGAGAGAAACATGATCTGATATTACATGTAAGCGGCAGAAGAATGGGAACCGGTACTGTAGAGGAACCGGTACTGTACAGGAAACGGTACTGTACAGCCACTGCAACTAAACGTTTCTAGTAACTGTAAGGACGAGGAATTTGGTCCATTCCTCTGTACAGCCTTAACTCCTGGATCTTGGCGGGTTTCCTCACATGAACCGCTCGTTTCTGGTCCTTCCACAACATTTCATTTGGATTAAGGTCAAGACTTTGACTCGGCCGTTCCAAAACACGAGCCGTGTTCTTGAAGCGTTCTTCGGTAGAATGATTTGTGAGCTCAGGATTGGTGTCGTGCTGCATGCTGACCCACTTTGCCGTCAGATTCATTTCACAGACAGATGTTTTGACATTTTCCTTTAGCATTTGCTGGTATGATTCAGAATTCATTGGCCCAGATGCAGCAAAGACAAAGACCCAACCCATGATGCTAGCACCGCCGTGTTTCACAGATGGGATGAGGTTTTCTAGAGTTTAGGGTTTTCCTTTCTCCAAGCATGACGCTTCTCATTAAAACCAAAAGCTTGAGTTCTAATCCACTCACAGAGCAGTTTGTAGTCTTCAGTCTTGTCTACGTGGTCGTTAGCTGAATGCAGATGAGGCCATAGCCGTGCACACCACTGTTCCTCCTGATGGTACACCCATGACAATAGAAGCCTTTAGTGACTTAGAAGCTCCCCTGGGTTCTTTTTTGACAACACAAACTATTAAACACTTTAATCTTTTGTTGGTCGGCCACCTCTGGATCGAGCCGCTGGTTTCTCAACAACAGTCTTAAATTTCCTCCCTGTGAAAACAATCCGTCTGAGTGTGGAGCGATGCCGTCCAAACACTTCAGAAATGCTTTTGTAACCTTTTCCAACCTGATGAGCATCATTTTATAAGGTCCATCTCCTTTGTTCGAGCCGCGACGCACTTCCACAAACATGTTGTGAAGCTCAGACTTCCATGGAGCCCTGCTCTTTAATAATAGACCCTCACCTGGCCCTCAGGTTGCTCCTCCAGCTTTAGAGACAGAACCAAACCAAGATTAAGGATTCCTCTCATACTGCCCAGGGCTCAGTGTTGCCCTGCTGCCCTCAACCACACCATGTTTTCTGAAATCACTGTCTCCGGTGCAGACAAAGGTCTCCCCCGAGTGAGCCACCTTTCTCCTTCTTCTCTTCCACTCCTGACTCAAGCTCTTCATTTCTCTTCTAATCCGGATATAACACGACATGATTTGGCCTTTAGAAATCCAAGAAAAATAATAACGAGGCAAAGAACCTTATTGCCAAGGACACAATGAATTCATGCTTAAATGAAGTTTTAGTTTTTGAACTTTTAAGACAATCTTCACATCAATGCAGGAAGCAGATTTGCACTGCAGGGAGGTCATGATGATAAACAGGCTGGTTGCTTGTCTGGTTTTCATCCTCACAGACAAATAACATCCAAAAATATCACCACAGTCGTCTCCTAACCAAGTATAGCAGCTGCCTGAACATGCATTAACCACAGTTTGCTGGACAGATCTTCCTTATTTCTACCAGACCGTAACCAAGCTGAGCAGTCGCTGACATCAGGACTGTTGTTCATCATTTCACACATGTAGAGAAAGATGTCGCCACTTCATGGAGTTTACAGAAATGTTCTGTGGTGGTCGGGTTCATGTGCACCGTCATGAAAAAGGTACAGCTTCAAATGAATCTTAACTGTCTGCTTTGGTGATGGAAGGTTCATCTTGTGGATTTTGTCAACTTAGAATAAAACTTTGCTCCTCTAGACGGGTTCGAAGAATAGGTGTACTGCTCCTTCAGCACTTTGTAGTTTAAGTTATTTTGTTTTGCCGTTATTCGATAGAACAGTGAAGAGAGAGACGGAAAGTGGGGGAAGAATGGGAGAAGGACCTGCAGCAAAGGGTCATGATTCAAACTCACTACTGCTGCTTCGGGGACTTCAGCGCCTGGATGTGGGACACCAGCTCAACCAGGTGAGCTATCCAGGCGTCCACACTTTACATTTAAAAAAATAAATCTGCTGCAACTCAATTAGAGTTTTCTGTGAGCAGAGTTACAGAGTAAAGGAGCAGTTCAGTATAGTGGCAGAATCATGTTTTAAGTCGGGGTAAAGCGAATACACGAGTTAGAAAAACAGAACAGTTCAACTTTCCTTTAAATTAATCGACCAACTGACACAATTCTTTTAAGCTGTTCCCATCATTCTCCTATTTCAGCTTGTTTGGATATTCTGTGGTGTATAAACAGCTTCCAAAAGCTGAGGAGATGTTCCTCCAGAACCAGAACCAGCCCCACACAACAAAGATTAAAACAGTAAATGACAGTTGCTGCCATTTCCCTCCTCCAGAGGACCTTGCAACCAGGATTCCTAGAAGTCGTCTCCCGGTGGCGGCTCTCCGTTGTTAGTTTAAGCTTCAGCTCTTTCCAATCCAAATGTAAACTCTGCAGCCTTCCCCCTCATCTGCTCTTCGTATTTCCACAGCAGACGGGTCGCTGCAGCAGAACACTCGCCTCCCTCCACCACTACGACTACTTTTCCCATCCAGCCACAGCAGAACATCCCACTTACATGTGAAATGAGATGTTAAGCCAGAGATGTGAGTTATGAGCCTCGTGGTGCATTGTCCGTAGCTGTGACAGCTAATCCAGGACCCGGTCCGGCCCCTGGTTTTCTCATGGCTCTGTCATTTACACCAGCCTCAGCACACCAGCCATCCATGTAATTACTTCACAGGGTTTTCTGTGCTGCTCCGCCTGCTGGCCTCCATCTCCTCCAGCTTCCCCTTTGCCATCCAGGTTTATTCCCCGAAGACCCACAGGACCGTCATGTCAGCGGTTTGGACTGACCACAGCCCTGCAGCACATCTCCTCCTCCTTCCTTTGTCTGTGTTTTGTCTCACAGCATCCTCCTTCTGCACAGCGTCGTGTTCACGAGTCGGTTCTGATCTCTTCCGTCTGCACACCCACATCTCGGAGCAGTTTATTCTTTTTTTTTTTTAAATACAGCTAAACCATCTTGCCATTGTTGTGCTGAATAACTTGACCTTATTCCTCTCATCTCCTCCATTAACTGTCCGCTGGAGGAATTCACCTTTTTTTTTCATGCAGGGTTTAGTCTTGTCCGCCACCCGAGCATTCAGCCATTGTTGCCGGTGAATAGGCTGTTAAGTGCTCTGGAGAGGGATCGCCTAATTCAGAAAGTCTGCCCGCCTGTCTCTTCATTACAGTCCAGCCTCGACTCTCACAGAAGTCAAGTCTAGTCTAGTCAGTGCTCAGAGGACTTTCATATTTCCTGGTTAAGTGATCCATGTCACATTCAGGGCGAGTGCATATTTAAAAATGTGCTTAAAATCAGATTGTTCATTATTTACTGTTGCTCCTTTATTGAGAAATAACACTCACACAGCCTGAACACATGTTTAACTAACTTTGTCTCCTCCTTCTCTGTGACGTCTGACCACCGGCTCTGTTTCGTGCAGCCCGGATAAGACTTTACACAGATATTCAGAGCTATCGCTATTCGTCTCTGGTTAGTTTCTGCCTGAATGTGTGGACCGATGAGCTACTGAATTGGAATAATGATAGCTTTGGTGGGTGAATTCCTATTTCCCACTGATCCTCTTTGACCACAGCGGTGCGTCTCGATTAAAAAATGCTCTCAAAAACGTATTTTTCTTTCCAGGAGATTAAGCGTTCTTCCACCTCTGTGATAATTGTCCTCTCAATTCAGCATATCAGCGAGTCGAGCCTCTCCAGCCACGTCTCCGTCCCGCATGCTTTAGTCCAGTGACATGTTTTGGTGTAACACTGATCTGGAAATGACTTCGTGTCCCTTTAATAAAGCTAACGATGCTGTCTGAACATTTCCTCCCGTCCCTTCCGGTCCTACCTTGAGGAAGGTGTCCAGCGATCCGTTCTCCATGTATTCAGTGATGATCATCACCGGCTTGCCTGAGAAGCACAGAAGCACATTTTATGTATACATACATGTGAATGAGCACATGTGAAGATGCTGAACAATAAGCGTGATGTAAGTCATACAAAGTAGGCACTTTAATTTGAGGTTTTCCAATATATCTGAATTTTACTGCACAGGACAAGACCAGAATACAGTCGAAGGATGAATAGATATGGATATTGATTTCAGAGCAGTAGCGAATCAGAGAGAGAGTAAAAATCGATAATAGCATTAAATCTACGGTGGTCTGGTGACCATTTAGGTCTCATCTTGTCAGACTAAGTCCTAACTTGTTGGTTTTTATCACTCTATACATCGTACTCAGTGCTAGCTGTTACACTGGCCTGTGGTGAAAATCCAAAGATATTAATTTATAATGAAATACAACCTAGAAAAGTCCAAATACTGGAGGAGAAGGAATTAATAAAGGTTTGTTATTTTAGCTTAAAATGTGACTGGAATGATTGATAGATTATAATTAATTATTCAAACAGCTTCAGCACTGCACTGTTTTTTCAATTTGCACATTTTGTACAGTTGTTTTATTTATTTTATTTTATTCACTTATTTTTATTTTTAATCTTTTAAATAGTATTTAACTTTGGCTCTTTTTCTGTTGGGATTGATGTTTTTCTCTTGCTGCTGTACCACAGTAATTTCCCAGACTGGGATAAATAAAGTATTTTTCTATTCTCTCTATTCTATTCTATTCTATTCTATTCTATTCTATTCTATTCTATTCTATTCTATTCTATTCTATTCAGTGTGTTTAACGCTGATCTGCACCCATTTTGCTGTCAAAGTTTTCTGAGCTGATTTTGGACAGTTCCAATCTGCTGAATCCAAATATTACGTTGGTTTTACTTAATGAGGTCAAAATTTGTCGCCACATTCACTTTTTTTTTACATGTTTGTGTACATGTGCAGGTATCTATGCTTGTATCACACAAAGTTCTGAAACGTTTAAAAGTTGATGCTCTAAATATTTGCAGGTGAATTAAAGTTAGACAGAAATTTTAGCCCCTGGTTTATGAACAACACATTAGAGTCCTGTGATGTTATCAGACAGAGATGGAGAGCAGGTATGAGGGATGCTGGGATGCAGTCATGATGGCTGATCACTGCTGGACTCTGAAGAGAGAAAAACCTGCTGCTGATCATTCCAGGAGCTCCAAGAAGTTCAAGCCCTGAATTCAGAGCAATGCTGATGAAACATGCGGTTTACTTGTATTTACCTTTACAAATGTTCATCAACTTTTAAATCATTTAGGTTATGGAAAGGATTAGAAAATGAAATGTTTCCTCTAAAATCAGATTTCATATGAGAAATACTAAAATAAATCGATCGCTAATGTCAAAAAATGTCATCGATTTCGTGGCAAAATTGATTTTTTTAAATCAAGTTGGCATAAAAACCTGAGCTGACAGAGAAAAGCAGACGTCATGTTTGGATTCAGCGCTGCAAAGATGTCCTAAATCAGTTAAAAACTCCTGGACATCTTCAGAAAATATGCGTTTGTAACCCAGTGAAATCTCTCCAAAACTCCCTCGTCCTGATTTACACAAATTGTGATAAAACACTATAAAAACTGTACAATTCAGCACCACTTTACAATTACCAAGAATGAAACCAGCTAACCTTTTATTTGCTTTTTAAACATTTCTGAACCAGCTGTTTATCAGAAAACTCCACACTCTGGAGATTTGTGACATTTCCTCGCTGCCGCACTCGAGCGACGACATAAACTGTATGAGTGAGTCAGAAAAAAGGTCATTTCAGAAGTAAAACTCCACCGAGCCTGATAAACTACTGGGACCTGACTGATGGAGTACATCTGAGCCTGATGGATGACAGAAGTACGGGCCGAAGAAATCACAGCCGAGTGTGAGACCCTGAACCTGATCCGCTGAGCCTGATAGATATCTCCACAGCACGGCGCCGACGAGGAGCCTCAGCTATCTGCAGGACGACGTCAGGTAAAGCTCAAATAAACTCCTGACTCCTAACGGACACGCCGACGACTCACTCTTGGTGACCACGCCCTCCAGACGGATGATGTTCGGGTGGTTAAACTGGCCCATGATTGATGCCTCCCACAGGAAGTCACGTCGCTGCTGCTCCGTGTAGCCGGCTTTCAAGGTCTTAATGGCAACCTGGATCTCTCTTTTCCCGGGCAGCCTCAGCGGTCCACTGCACACCTCACCAAACTCCCCTGAGGCAAAAAGACAGACCCTTAAGTGTGGCCTTAACATTTCAGCCAACCTTGACCTGCAAAAATATTGTCAGACGGTAAATGGAGCCTGACTCGACGGTGACATAAACCTCAAACGACATGATATACAAGTGCTGTTCTCTTAATGAATGTTTTGATCTAGCTCTGACATATTTAGTCCCTACAAGCCTTAGAATCTGATTCCTTTATGTCTGAGAGCGCTGGTGTTTCACTGCAGCTCCTGTGAGGCCAACAAATCAACCCGTTTGTCAGCGGAGCACAAACAGCCGTTCATAGCCGTGTGAACTGTCATCTTCCAGCACGGCGTTTGGCTTAATTGCCCGAGTAAAAACCTACAAGACGACGTTTATGTGACTACGAACGTGGCAGGTGTATGAAAGCATAATGACAAAGACGGCTCAGTCCTGCACAGCATGGCGGAGTTAGTCTTATTAAAGTCTTGCTTCAGAACGCTCACTGAACAGGTTAATAGCTCAGAATGAACATTTATATAATCTGAGATTCATTATTTTGGCTCAGAGCAGGAATCACAGGTTTTCTACACGTGTTGGACTCACCAGCGCCGATGATCCGCTCGATGGAGATGAACGAAACGTCGATCTCTTGGGCAAACTCGTGCACCGCCTGGTTGGGATCTTCGTAGGTGAGGGGGTCGATGTAGGTACGCACACCTGGAAACTTAACTGAAGACACACACATACGGCATCATTACCATTTAAATAATACAATATTAACATATAGACAGGATCGCATCCACTGGACGATGTCTGCATGAAAAACAAGGTGATAGCATTCTGTTGTGGTTGCTAGCACCAGAATTATTGCTAATATCATGGCTGGAGTTGGGAAATATGGAGACTGGCGACAATAAGACGGATAGTTTGCATGTTTTTTTCCCTGTATTTCCCAGATTGCAGACCAAGTTTGTAAATCAAGTGCTTCGATATAAAACATTTTACTAAAACTTCTACCTGTACTCAAAACTACTCGCACCTTTGTACTCGCCAGTTACGTCACTGCTGTCACTACAACCGCATCATTCAAGTTCTTTTGGATGTTTCCCTAAAATACCGCGTCTCACAGAACCAAACACAATGATTCACACGGTTAATTACACTATTAAGAAGACAGCCTTTCAATCATAATTAAAGCGTTAATTTTAAATATTTTCTTTCATGGCATGAATCAATACGACAGAATCCCACACATATTGGCTCCGTGGTGTTTTCTTTTTTTCCTCCTGACTTATCCGGAGCTGATGTACCCGTCACAGTTGGCTGTGATGCCAACAGATGGATAGCGGGGTACGACGCCAAAAAATGTGGACAAATATATTAAGCTGTCACAGCCTATAAATCGTCAGAGCTCTATGTGTTCTCTGTGCCACCACGGCGGCCATGTGGCGGGCTAGTGCGAGTGCCATTTCAAAGAATAGCTCCTGGTACAAAACACTGTGGACTGTACTGGCTGTACGGAGATGGACAAACTCACAGAGACATGACCGCGGCCTGAACCCTCCACTGTACACCATGTGTAAACTTCAGATGAACTCACACAGAGTTCACATGTACAGGATGAGTTTGGACTTTCTTAACTTACTGTGGCCGTTGTGAAAATGCATCTTTTCCTCTTCAGGATCCTGCTTTGCTTTGCTGTAGCCACACCGCCTGAGGAGGAGGAGGAGGAGTAATAAACACATCAGCGTCAGGTTAATGCACAGCAGCGTTACCATGGAAGAGCAGTGACTGGTCCTCGTTATCGTTACACTCGTCTCAATTACAAACACACTGATAGAAAGACAATCAAGTCCTGTAGTTAACCCAACACTGTCAAAAAAGTGAGACTTATGAACTTTAATGCCAATTAGCAGTTTTTTCCACCTACGACACACCTCTAAATCAGCGCAGATAGAGAAATTGCCTTCACAGTTCACAGTTAGCTGACAGCAGCGATCATTGTGCAGCTTTTGTTGCACATATTTTCAATCTCTACTACAAAGGAGCACAAAACGTTGACCACGAACACGCAGAGCAGCAAACCCTGGTCAGCACAGAGCACAATCAGACTGGGATCTAAGTGCAAAATAAGCTTTTTTTTTTCTTATTTCCTCAAAGAATTTGCTAACCCACATTTCAAGGGGTTCAAAAATACTGCTGAAGACGCTGAAAAACATCAGCTTTTAGACGCAAGCAAAGGGCTGCACTTTCACATCAGATCTGGTTTTTTTTCTAAGAAAGCCCTTCTTGACAAATTCCCTCTGACTTTTGGCACAGAGGGGAGACGTCTATCATTTTCCAATAAAGGCCAAAATAAAGATTTGATACCAATTTGCTGTGAAGAGCTTCTGTCTGTCTGCTCCGTCCTCTCAGCCTCGCTAACCTTGATGGCCAACACGCGTGTTCATTTGTGTGTTCTGTGTGTCGCTCTGTGTGCGTTAGCGCTCAAAAAGCTCCCGCCTGCCAATATTTAGACAAATGGCATCAGAGATAATCGCAGATAACCCAGATTAAACAGGAGGATTGATTTTAAACGTGATCCTATATGCAAACACAAACAGGCGGCGACGTAAAGCAAACACAGACACAGATTCACAAATCGCTGCATCTGAGCTAAACGAACTGATTCACACTGCTGTGGCTGAGCTCTCCTCATTTTTTAGTTCTTGAAGATAAATAGAACACACACACACTCACACACACACACACACACACACACACACACACACACACACACACACACGGTGGTGACGTCCAAGTCTTTCCCATCACAGTTCTCTGTAGGACAGCCAGGCTTGGCTAGAGGGGGTTTGCAACGGGCAGCTGGATATTCTGGGAGAGGGGGAGTCGATGTGTGCGTTTGTATGTGTTTGTGTGTGTGTGTGTGTGTGTGTGTGTGTTTTGTGCTTGTGCGTCTGCCGGAGGGTGTTTAGTTTGCCGGATCTGTTGAGTCAAGGGGTTTGAGCGCACTCGGCGCCCAGCCGGCCCTCCGACTTCATACATGTGTGTTTGTGTGTGTGTTAACCCATGCGTGTCAGTGTGCACACATGTGTGCTGTGTGCGCCGGATGTCTATGCATGCATGCGCAGCCTGGAGAGTCATGCATGAAGAGGCGGGGGCAGCGGGGTGAAGGGGCTGCGGTGCATGTGCCCTAAATCCATCATCAGGATATCTGCTCCGTCGATCCTCCCCCACACACAAACCCAGAGCGATCCTCGATCCTCATCCCTAAACCTAAACCACCTCCGTCTCTCTGATTTGCTTTTTTTTAATCCTTGAGCATCACCAGTCCGCCCGCTGTATCCTCAAACCTACACTTTGTGGTTAAATTATTGAGCGAGGATCAACTAAATTAATGAAATGATGACCCAATAGTTAAATGGATGGAGAGTTCGATGAATGAGGGAGCAATAAAAATGTATGTGGGATAAAAAATGAATGAATTCATCTACATGTGGCGGGAGGGATGGAGGGATGAATGAAGAGATGGATGGATGACTTGGTCAGCAGAACATGAGGAACTCCAAATAGTCTGAGATTCTTGAAAATAATTTCAGCTTTGTTATTTAATGATGGTTTAGTAAAAGGAAATGGGCGTATACAGCCTGCAATTAGCTTTAATTGATATGTTTTATATTAAAATACGGTTAAAGAGGACGAAATCAGTTCCAGAACCTTTTAGAGACACACTTAGGAGCTCAGCAGTATAGAGCAAACTGCTCTGCATTTGTTTTGTATCTGCATGTGAAACAAAGGTTGTTGTACCAATTAGACGACGAGGTTAAAACACGAGCCTGGAGGCAACAGTAGTGCAGTGTATAAGACTCAGAGCGGCCAACGCTGGACTGAAACAGCACAAGGTTGTCTCCAGACGTGAGCGAAATCCGCTGACATATGTTTGGGCCCCGCAGTTCTAACCCAAAAAGCGAGTCTTAATCCTGACCTATTACAAAACTCCAACCTCAAGCTAATGATCTAATCCCATCACGCTGCTCAACAAAGTATGTGGGACAGAAATGAGACTTGATATTTGTAATTTCTCCAAGAGGTCAGTTAAGGATAAAGAGATGTCCTCCGATGCTGCTAACGTATGGACCCACATACAGATAAGTGCTTGTTAAAAACCAATAAATACCTTAATTCATTCATTTAAGGCAGCATTTTCCTCCAGACTTTCCTCTACACACTCATTTTGTTCTCGTAAAGTGCGGTTGATTTTCCTTAGAGCAGCTCAGCTCCTGACACTCTCACACTCGACCTGAACACGATGCCATCACACGTCAGCGTCTTGCATTAATTCACATCAGTGTCAAACGGCTGCTGATGCTCCCATCGGTTCTGTTCTGACGGATTTCATTTAATAACTCCAGTAAAAGTCACAGCACCTATAAAGTAACACATGTAACAGCTCTGTATCACATCCTGTGTCATAATTAGTGCGTTCGGTGACTCACTCTCCTTCTATTTTTACTCTACGTCAGCGGTTGGCAGCGTTTATTGCACTTCGATACCCTATCACCTGTGTTCCAGCCGGAGGAAGGCGTGAGTGGGCATACGCTTACACCTGCAAACATATCAATAAAAAAAGCTTCCCTCCTCCTATTTACTCTTCTTCATGTGTGTGTTCATGCCTTACCGTCCGCTGAGCAGGAATCCGGCCACCACTGCCAGCAGGACCAGCGCCAGCGTGATGGCCACGGCCACAATCGAAGCCTGAGCACGCTCGCTGGTGGCGGTTACTGCCAAAGAAAGAGAAGCGGGATTAGACGCACAAAAACCACACCTGGCGTCTGCGTGTTGATACAGCCTCGGAGAGCAGGTGGGCGTCCTGTACGAGCTGAACTCGGCTACAGTCTGCTCGGCGTACTCACGGTAAGGGCTGGTCTGGAATTCAAAGCGTCGGCTGAAGGCGCCGTAGCCTGCTGAGGTCCTGGCTCGTACCTGCCACGTACCACACGCCCCGAAAAACCACAAACATCACAATCAGACCTCCGTATATAGTCATGCATCCATACAAGTGACTTTAAATCACTCAGCAGTATAACTCTTGAACCCATCTTTCACCTGGAAGATGTAGGCCGACGAGGGTTTCAGGCCTTCCACCACCATCTCCGTGTCCTTGGATTTTATGATGGTGTAACTGGAGTCCTGCTCCTGCAGAGGCACAAAGAACGAGGACTACTCCTTATTTCATTCACGTGCTTTACATATACTTTCATAGCCTTGACTGTTTAAGATTTGTTGCTGCATTCAGAAGCCTTTTGTGCTTCTTCTTTGTGCGTACGTTCAGATTCTTGCCTGTTCCTCTGCTCATCTCTGCAGCCGAGCTACCTGTGGTGTACGTGACTGTGTCTAAATGCATGGATCAGTTTCCCCGACTGTAACCACATCAGGTTTAAACACAGCTAAATGCCCCTTCCATTAGCCCCAACCCATTAGCTAACCACTGACCACAAACCCTGCTCCGGCTCTCCTGTGTACCTTTATTCTGACCTTCCCAGAAAAGAAGACATCAGAGGATGACAGAGAGAAAAGAGGAAGGGCACAGGAACAATGATCTGAATAGGAGCATCAAATTGCTCTCTGCCAAAGTCCACCTTTCAAAAAAAAAACCTGCTGGTGCTGTTACATGAAAGTCATTTTGGGATAAAGGTTCTTCTCAATGGAAACGGTTTAAAAGCCACTTCAAGGCAGACTGCTTGTATATTCAGCTGCATCTCTGAGGGCTAATTTGAACAACGGTTGTCTTAATGTTTCTGTAATACAATAAATATGCAGAGTTCAGGGCTGGAGGAACAAACAGCAGAGTGGTGCCGGATGTTTTTATTGCATAGTTTCTCAGCAGTTTTAAAACCCATTTTCCAAAGTTCACTTCCACCAAAGAGCTTTGCAGACATCTAAGTACATGTCCTGTGGCTCCGCTTTCATCAAAGGAAAGATGTTGGTATGAGATTAGATGGATGTGCATTCAGGTGGATGTGACATTGAAAATACACAACAAACCAGAAAAGGACAAACTTTGGGTCCGTGTTTGCCGACTTTAAAAAGTTTCTGTGTTTTTAGAAAGTTATGAGAAAGGAAACTTCCCAAGAGAACAACAGTAATCTCCACAAATCACAAAGCCTGTGAATCCTCGTCAGTACATGTGGTATGAGATACACATAAACTAGTATTTAAAATCAATGCCTCTGTGACGGACTCAGCAACATCTGGATGTCAAGAGTTTCAGGAAGTCACAGAGGAGCGGCAGGCGGCCCAAAGCCAGCGAGCAAAGGGATTCGTTAAAGGAACAACAACACAAAAACAGAACATTTAATAAACATATATATTTTTTCTTTACCTTTTCAAAATACTTGATCTCGTACTCCAGGATGATGCCGTTGGGCCGATCGGGCTCTGCCCACGACAGGGCGATGCTGCTCTTCCCGGTGTGACCTTTCCTCACCACGCTCACCGGGGACGGAGCTGCACAAAGACACAGACAGCACAGCTTCAAGCACCGACGTCGAGTTCCCTTAGAGGAATGGCATAATAGTAAAAACCCAGCAGTTTAATCTGATGCAACCCAGTGCCTCTGTTTCATTTCCAGTATTTAACCTTGTTAGAATTAAATAAAGCTGATATAACAACCTAATAAACGCTGATTGAACACCAGAGAAATGGCGCTAATGTTGTAAAATCTGTTCCGTCCGTAAGACGCTCCTCATTTGATGACACGCTGACGTTTACATGCGCAGCGCTGATTGTAACGCTCGCTGTGACTGTTGTACGCTATGAAATATTAAACTGTTGATTAAAACCTCAAAGAATGAAATCACACAGAAGCTGTTGGAAAGAGGAAGACTTTCCATATCAGAACATACACAGTAATGTACATCTGTGTTGTTTCTGCTCAGATCTGGAGGTAATTCGCCGTCTTCTTCCTCGTTGTACGTCCCCGACAGTCTGAATCTCAGCCTCCTCCGAGCGTTCGCTTCAGTCCATTGAGTTCTCACTCAACCGGCGAGATTATTTTCGGTTCCAAAGCAGCTCTGCTTCTAAAAACATGTTTGCAATCTGGCAACAAGGCGCACCTGCGTCTAATTAAACCGTCCCTTTATATCTTGCTATTTAGCAGATGCTACCAGAGGAGCCCATAAAGTCGACTCTATGACTCTTCACATCTGGCTTCGAGAGTCTAGTGCAGCGAATTTGGCAGCCGACGAAAGGACACGACGACGCACACGCTGGAGCGACAACGCAAACAACAACTTACGACTTCCATCTATTATTTCACTCTCATGTTGAATTAAACATATTTCCACATTTTCTTCGGCTGTTTGAAAAGTTTCTGCTGAAACCATTCAGTCCGTTCTGAAGTCAGTCGTGTGAGTTTGCATCAATCACGGAGCCATCATCCTGCTGTAACCCGAACTGTTGGTCCATCTCTCAGAGGGACAGTTGGAGAGTCTCTGACACATAAAGAGCTTTTAACCAGGCAAAATGCTCCCTCAGGCAACATCCTGATAGTGTACGAGAGGATGTGTATATATGTGTGTGTGTGTGTGTGTGTGTGTGTGCGTCCGCTGCGAATGCTAAACACCGTTTAGGTTTCAATAGCCTCAGCAGAACTCCACAGGGAATAAATCATCGCTACAAACACAGTAACTGTATCCTGAGTGGATGGTTGCACAGAAGTGTTATCTGGAACATCTTAAAAGCCTGAAACCAGAGACCGAATCACACACACTCACACACACACACACACACACACTCACAAATGCTTAAATGGTATAAAGGGCTGGGATTCAATGATGAGAGAGAGGGCTTATTTTCCCAGCAGCTTTATGGGTAACAATACACCAAAATCTAAGTTTAAATCCCCTCAGTATGGATGCAGTTTGCTATATTTAATCAAAAGTTCTCAATAGAGGGCGTCATGTGAGGGTGTGAAGAGCCTCATGTGCAAACTTAAGCTTTTCGGTTATATAAATGAGCCTGATGTGACGTCCTGCATGTGAAACCCAAACCAGGGCCTTCAGATAACCGATCCGTTGGTTTCTCTTCTAATTAATTTAATCATTCAATTAAGGCCGAGCTCACGTCTACAAGTTGCTTATTTCTTGTGATCCGCCGTCAACATTTTTAATAAACGACCTCAATTATTAATCTGTCGTTAAAATTTCAGAATTCTCGTTCGATCGACTGTTTAACTAATAAACTTCTATTTTTCTTTTTCTTCTTTTTTTTTCTTCTTTTCTTTTTTTTCTTTTTCTTTTCTTTTTTTTTTTTGCTCTTTATTTTGTACTTAAATATATATGGCACTGAAGGAGCTGCTCTCAATCTCATTGTACATGTGTATAGTGACAATAAAGGCATTCTATTCTATTCTATTCTAAATTCAGCACAAGGAAGGACTGAACGCGCTGCAGAAATCCATGTCTCTTTAAAATTCAGCTAGAAAACTCCATGTTGCAAAACGTGAGTTAATTCCCCTAAAAATGTAGTTTAACGTCACTGTGTCATTCCAAGGCAGACTTTCAAACAACCAGTGTTGATCAGAGGCAGATGTAGTGATCAAACATTCCCAGACTTCTCCCCGTTTAGTGCCAACTCTTCCCTTTTCTTCACCAAATGCAGAAAAGCAAAGACGTCCACATCGAAGCCGCGCTGAGCGCCCAGAGTCAACAAGCGTTTTAGAATCAGGCTGGAAAAACAGCGACGGTGATGGAGGAGAGAGAGAAGGGACGGCTGACAAAAAGAAAAAAAAAAAGGGAAGCGTGTGAGAATGAAGGAGGTGGAACATGTTGAAAGAGTGCAGACAGGACCCCAGCAACACTTTTATTATAGCAGCGGAGTCGGCGGCTGAATCGCACTCCGCCTCTAAACACTTCCTGCGCGTGTTACATCCGCTAATGAGCACCTACAGCACGGCGATGCAGAACACAAATGAACATAAACTCCTGGTGTTCTGCCATAATTTGAGTCAGCGAGGCCCTTTTCTGTTTGCTATCAGGCTGATATGATGAGATTTTTTTTCTCCTCCACAAAGAGAGCGGGGTTACAGAAATCTATTGAGCGGCTGAGTGCGACCCTCCAGTGCAACAACTCTGGCCTCAGATAAGAGCGACATTATCACAGCGCTGAACATAAGCCTCTCAGACCGCTATCTGTCTGTAGCATCGCTAAAATCAATACGGTACCTTCAACTATCTGCTTTATTATCCTATAACTACCCTCGGAGAATGACAGAAAGATAGATTGAGAGACAGAATGAAAGAGAGATATCGGACAGAGATGCCTTTATTAAGGCTGTAAAGCACCAGAGCTGCTCTCATCTCTTTTGCGTGCGACTTAACTTTTAACCCTCCTGATCTCTTTGTGCCACTTTCGATTGATTTAATTGGCAGCCGAGAACTAATCCGTCAATCGATGTAGTGCATAGTTATCAGCGGAAACGCACACATTTCAGCTGCTCAGTAATCCATAAAGATTCTTAAAACAAGAATACTCAGTACAGGGGGACTTCTAGGCCAAGATGTTTGAGGCATTCCTCGACCTTTCAGCCCCTCAACAGTACGAGGTTGCTATGTTACATACTACACTGCACAAGACATAGCTAAGGTTTGGGAGACTACAGACAAAGCTGTGATGAGGTCTTTCCCTCTTTCTAATCCTGTTAATTATCTTGCAACCCTCCATATTTATCCTCAGGACCTCTTGGAAGGCTCCCTGCTCTCAGGTTGGGAACCTCTGCTTTTGTCTTTTTACATATTTGTGTGAATTCTCATAAAGAGGCCGTGAACAATGTCAACAGCTGAAGGGTTGGAGGTCCTGACCATGAAAACAGCTTGTATGCAGAATGTGGAAACCCCTGGAAGGCACATTTCTGTATAAACAGGAAAGTCAAAGAGGTCAGATTTGTGTAGAGAAGCAAGAACGATTATTGACTAACCAGAGATGTTGAATTCCTCTGAATGGACCGCTGCTGGTTGGTTAAAAAGCAAGAAAGGCATCCTGCACACTACTGATCCACCTTGTTGGTGCCTTTTTGTGTCCAACATTGACCAAAATCTTCCCAACAATGTCTTCTCTTGAATCCTCTGCTCTACCAAATGTCCACTTCATGTCAGTTCCAGGACTCCTGCAACCCATCTACCAATAAACACCAATCAGCTACAACACTAAAGCCACCGACAGGCTACGTGAAGAACGTCGATCCTGTCCTTACAAAGCAACATACTGCTGGAAAACCTTGGATTCTGGCGTTCATGTGGATGCTACTTTGACGTGCACCAGTCTTCGAAACATGGAAACCAAGCGCACCCACCAATGGCAGCAGCATCCCCGACGTCCTCTACCAGCAGGACAAAGCTCAAACTTCAACAACAGCTCAGGAACATGACAAAGAACCAAAGCTCGCCTCCAAATTCCTCAGATCCCAATCCGACCTAATCATCTGAGGGCTTCCCCAGAACAAGCTTGATCTAAGAAGTCCCGTGTCCACCCTCGACGATTCAGGCCAACCTACACATGATCAGGCACGGTGGTTTTAATGTTGTGGCTGTTCAGCGTATGCGTACCTGAAACCACAGCACTTGGCCACAGGGCTGTGCACTTATTTATAAAACCACCCACAAGGTAATGTATCACGATTCACTTGATTAATAGCCTCCAACAGCCCAGGCAACGTATGGGAGCATTTAGTGAGCAGCTAGCACGCAGTGCAGCAACATGAGCAACAAATAACCCAAAATAAGGACGTATTAAAGCCACGCTGCCGGGATGTGTGTATATAATCACGCTTATGCTGCATTTTCTGTGATTATCAACCATTAAAAGCCAATTAGATTTAAAAGCTCCCTTTTTTTCAGGATTTTCATGAATGACAGTTTCTCCTTGTGTGAAATGAACAACGTGGTTATTACTGCCACTCACAGGCCTGAGCAAACATCCAACATTTACACACCTGGAAAGGTAATTGGATGGCAGGGGTAGCTCTGTCGTCAATTTGGTGATTTATTTCTCTTTAAAAAATTAATTTCTTCTGCTGAACAGTGGTTGCTGGCGAGCAGCCGTATCAGACTGATGTATTGGTGTGAAAGGCAACATCAAAGAGTGGAAATACATGACTGGCCTTTTTAAAACCGCTAAGCTGCACCACAGCTCTTAGTGTTTCCAATGTGTACAAGCAGTTCATGTTCAGCCTCTCATGCTTCAGTCTTTCCTTCCTCCTCCCCTGTCATTTCCTTTTCACAACTTCTTGCCGTGTCATCTGTTCCCTCCTTATCATAACCTCCCCATCGCTGCTCCGCCACAGTTTGTCACTTCTACCTCCACTCTGTTGTTCTGTCCTCCTCTCTCCGACTTCTCCCCTGCCTTTCACCTCTCCCGATCTCCTCCTCACGAGCACCAACACTTTATTATTCATCAGGGCTTCACAGGGACACTGTGAAATCACCTATTTCACGGATCCCTTATCGTGTGTGACACTTCCCACACATCAAACGGCAGATCCTCCGACTCCTTCCCTGTCTGTCTCCGTCTCCCCGTCGCCCCCATCTCTCTGCAGCGTTGCCTCGCTATCTTGTTTTTTTCCCCCGCAAAAGCAGAAGCGCAGTGAAAAAGCACAGCCTCACACTGGAGCACAACACAAAAGGCATTCAGAGTTGTTTACACGGTGCTGATCAAGGTCTTCACTGGGTAATTACATCTGTGACACAAAGGCGAAGACGGATCAGAGCGCGCTAAACTGCTCATTTACAATTACTGCTCCGGGATGACTATTAAAATGATTGTTCTGATTATTTTGGTTAGTCACTTATAACCGCTAAGATCTCCGGCAGCTGATGTGGGCTGATTTTAAGTGTCACGTTACACAAACAGCAGTTTGTTCAAACTGCATCAAAGAGCTGAAGGCTCTGTTCACAAACATCCTCGGGCTAGAAGTGACTCTTCACTGAGTTGGAGAAACTTCTGAAAATATGGGTTGTGTCAGTAACTTTACAGCTCCTGAGTTTTTCTTTTAAGAGTGATTCACAAGGCATTTAGTGCTAAAAGCAGCTCCAAGTCAGAGAACTTAGAGGCAGTTCAGAGGACTGTAAGTCACTAAGCCGAGGCTGCTGCTGGTCGTCCACAGAGTCAATATTTTAGACAAATACGATGATAACAAGCGCTCATGAAGAACAGGGCAGCTCCAGCGGTGAAGCCGGGATGCAGTCACCTGACCAACTTCTTCATCAAACTGAAGCGCACTGCTTTACAACCATCAGTTATATTTAATTAGCAAACCTGGTCCATCACCGGGTAATTGATCCAGTTATGTGTATTAAAGACAAATAGTTCTCTGGCTGATCACCTTTTCTTCATCGTAGTTCTTTACAAAAACACCCTCTCAGCAGCTTTTAAAATGGGTCTTAAGAGGAAGCTCTTAGAAGCTTTTACTGCTGCTTAAGTAGTAAAATAAGATCCTTTGTGAATAAAACCTTCCAGCCTGATGGCCTCTCGTGGAGCTCAACAAGGTGCAGAGAAGGGGGATAATTTTAGAAACCCTGAAGAAGAACAAGAGTTAAAGGATAAGTTTTTGGAGAATACAGATGATATTATTCTGTGTTTTTTCCTCCTCCTCATCCTGTTCATCACCCTCACATCCATCCTTACACCACTGCTCTTCCAGTGGGAGCCTCTAGTGGGACGATGTGCAAATTAAAAACACAGATTTGGGTGAATTCTCATGAAGGTGTCACGAACTATGTAATGAGCTGAACTGCTGAATGATGCCACTCAGTAAACTCAGGTGTAAACTCTAATTACTCACATATTAACTGCATTTATGTGGTCAAAAATAGACCTTTAAATTTAACTGTAAACTCACTGATTGCTGCAGCATGGATGGCTTTAAAAGCACATGTTTGCACTGATAGTCTGTATTTCTTATATTTGAAGAAACTCACTATCAATACTCCCTACAAACCTGCTTCTGCAGCTGGAGCTTGTGTCTGTTTTATTCCTGCTTCTGAAACAACAGGACCTGCTGATGTCAGACATATTATCACAGTTTTGTTCTGCTACAAATATATTAAAAACGTTCCACCTTGACTGAGCTTCGTTAGAGACAGCCTGGTACAACATCCTGATTAGAAACAATAGAAACTCTCAGATAAGGACGCTGCTCTAATTTCTCTTGTTTGTTTTGAAGCCTTTGCTTCCACATGCAGGACAAACTGAGTGAAGCATTTTTATTTCCTTTTCCTGAAGGTACAGTATCGTAGAGTGTTGATGGATGCACATGTACCGACAGCCCGGCTTTTTCCGTCGCATGTTTCATACGTCGCTGTTTGACTTCCACCTTTCCGATCGTGTCCCGTCTCTTCATCTACCCAAACTGAAATAAAGCAGACCCTCACCTCCAGCAGCCTGAAGCCCGTCCACGCCCAACAGCAGCACCCTTTATCTTCTGCGGCTCCCCCAGCCATGTGTAATCTGACGTAATCCCTAATCTCCACTTGGTCCAGTGACTGGCTAACTTTAATCCAGCTCCAGCTCCAATAAACTGAATTTGAGTTGCGTGGTCTGGGTGTAATCCACTCAGCCTGCTGACAGCCTCCGTGACAACACAGTTAGAGGCCTGTCAGGAGCTTCCACCGTTACAACCATCTGCCTTCTCGCTCGTCTTCCTCTCTCCTCAGCACTTACTCTACCTGACCTTTTACTCCTACTACTACTCCTACTGCTACTACTATCGCTGGTATTCTTTGACTGCCAATGAACCATCTGTTCAGCAAAACGGAACAAACGCAGTCCTTCAGCACCGCTTTTGTCTCTCGCCTTCCCTCCAGATGGAAGCCAAGGGGAGGAGAGCATTAATCTCATATTTTCTCCTCATTTCATTACGCTGTGTGCTACCATTTCATTACCAGCGAATGGAATAAACTACAAAAGCACGAAGCTCCTGTAAACACGGAGAATGGGCTCCCAGAGCAGACATGAAATTCTCATCTTCATTTAAAAGGGGGAGCTAACAAAGCATCCAATATTTACAGCTATGTGAAGCAGCCAGACTCCGTCCTTGTCCGATACGAGCGCAGCCTTTTATGTTTGGCCACTTTAGTGTTGCTCATTTACTGCCTCGCTTAAGTAGACTTTAGAGTTACAAAGATTTCCTAAGCTGCTCAGATGATAAATGCTCCCAGCAGCTCCAAGTGAAACACATTACACCAGCTCAAGTGGTCCTTTCAGTTCAGAGTTTATCAAATATAGCACGTCGCAGCCTAAAATTAACACGTAAACGTGCATGTCATCAGCGTGACTCATCGCCGCTGACAGGCATGCGGGATAACACCTGCTAGCACACCAGCCCGCCCATACTCACAGCCGCCTGCGAAACACCAGCTCTCATTGCGCCACAGATTCCTGCAAATCCTGTTGATGAAATGCATCGCCTAATTGAGGGGACCAAGCTGCTTTTTCAATGACATGTCTGAATGCAAGAGCAAAAACAACAACAACAAGAAGAGGGGGGGGAAACAAAACAACAAAAAAAACCACGGGCTTTCCGCTGTGCGATGATCTCTCATTCGCTGCAGGGTTGGACGTTAATACAGCGACAGATTTGTTGGACAAATACTGTGATAATTTGATCATCTGGTGTCTTTGTTATCGAACCAAGACATTCGGATTCCAGGTTGGAGGGGAAAAAAAGGAGTCAAATTGGTAACGATTTTGGTGGCTGGGTTTGAGTTTGAGGGGGGGAGCGTACGGGGCAGCTGTGTTTGCTGATTGATGCTCTCGTGGGGAGAATATTGATGGAAGGTCTGACGCAACGTACCTGCCTGATTGGTCGTCACATTCAGCGACACATACTGCTTGGCGTGGTCCTTGGCCAGCTCTGACACGCCGTTGACAGCCTCCAGAAGGAAGCTGTAGTTGGTGTGCGACTGCAGGTCGGCCACCATCACCGAGGTGTTGGACAGGCCGACCCGCCGCGGCAGAAAGCGCACGTTGGGGCCGCACTCCTCCAAGCCCCGGCCGTCCGGCAACACCCGTCGGCACAAGATGTTGTAGCGCACGTCCTTCCTGCCGCCCGTCTCCATGGGGATGGACCACTCCAGGAAGACGCTGGTCTCGTTGACGTTGGAAATGGCGTTACGTGGAGCGGAGGGAGGACCTGAGGGAGACAGAAGAACACCAGGTTATATAGCATCTAGACGGGGGGAAAATAAAGAAAAGATTGAGCTGTGAAGTCATGTGCAAGTAGAAAAGGTGCTGGATCCTCACGTGTGCAGGCCATATTAGGAGGGTCAGAGTCAATCTTATAGTATCCATCTTCACAGCTGCAGGCGGTGGCCCCCGTCTGCCGGGCCACGCTGTGAGGCGGACATTTACTGCAGGCCAGAGACTCCAGCAGCGAGCGGTAAAACCCCACTTTGCAGACTGAAAGACGGGGAGGAGAGAAGACGCCATGGGGTGTTCGGGGTCGGATCAAGACGAGATGAGACGATAAGAGTAGACGTACAAATAGGAAAAGGGAAAGAGGTCATGGGGAGAAAGGTAAAAAAATAAAAGTGGGGGAGAGAAGAAAAGCAGGACAGTTCGGTTATTTCTTCTGAAAAAAAAAAGGAGGTCAACATAACAGCGGTGGAAAATTTCCCTGGGTGCTCGTGGTTGTTTTGGAAGCTCCTCAACACAAACACACGATAGTTTGAGACTCGAAATTAAAAGAACCGTTTGTCACATCTGTGTTTTCTCCTTTGTTTCTTTTGAAGTCTGATTTCTCCTCATATCCCTCTGGGGATTATTTTCCTCAAGTCAAACCTGCACAAACCTCGTCGTGTTTCACCGTCTTAATCAAAAGGCTTCCTCTCTCCTCATCAGCGGGCTTTTCCCTCTTTCTCTCAGCTCTTCGGCTCAGTGATTTAAAACCAGCTCCTGATTAAGACTTCGCACTTGCATCTGCTTCACAATATTGGCCCCCATATGTGCCGCGTATACAGTACAAACAAATACACAGAAGAAGAAGAAGAAGCAGCACGGAAACAGGCAGAATCTCTCTCTCTTCCTCCCACACAAACACTCAGTCAGACGGCTGATCTAAGTGGGGCAGGTAGACAGGAGGGCGATGCACTCGGAATGTTAACACGCGAGAATACATCAACAATCTCTGTTGCCATGGCTGCAACCCCCCAAGCCAACCCATCACTGACTTATCATGGCATCATTTTCCTCCTGATTTCGCTGTGGCAGTCTGACGGGTAAATAATACAAGCAAAGTTCCACATGATGCTGTGCAGACAAATTTCCTCTGGACGGAGGACAGGAGAGGTGAGGTCACCACGGCGGGGAGAAGGTCTGTCCTCTACATTTAGCAGCTGTTGTCTTCTCAGTTATTACTAAAGTTCAACTAAGAGGAAAACAGGACAAAGACCCAGAATGGAGAAAACACAGGAAGATATAAACAGGAGATAAGCTGGAGGACTGATGGGAGGAGAAGTTTACGAGGACGTGGCGAGGAGAGAGGAGGAGGAGGAGACAAAGAAGGGAGTCGCGGGGTGATTTGTGTGTGCGCTTCAGTCGCTCGGCGGCGGCGGCGGTGGCTCTGATTCACCTTGACGGAACCTTGGTCTGTTGTCACGGAACATTAGGCCTGAAAAATTCTCCCTCTGCCCCGGATCGCTCCGACTCTCACCTCCGCTTCACACGCACGCAGGAGGAAGCCTCCCAGAAAAAAAAACAAAAAAAATAATCGTTTGTCCTGCATGTAGGAAGCCACACGGACCATAATGATGCTCAAGACGTCGCTTTGGAAGCATTCATGGTGTTGGCCTAGTTCTGAATGAGCAGATCCATGCGATGACACACTGTACGATGGGCCTCCAGGGGAGGTTTCATCCAGATGTGGAACGATTTTCCCCCATTTTTTTATTGTATTATGGAGTTTAACAGCAGTTACTTACTCACTAGATTTTGAACTGAATTTGAATTTAATCCAAAACTCATTGAGTAGACGATGATTTAAAACCTTCTCAACCTTTACATGTGGGTTTGGCATTCAGGGCAGTAGGACACACACACACACACACATTTATGGTTGCATATAGATTTATTGCTATTGTCTGGTCTCTGGCTCTCCTTGACTTCATCCTCCAAACCCCCCCAAGGCCGAATCAATAAAAACGGGGTGGCAGCTCATTTCACATCTACAGACGCAGCAGCGCCGAGGGAAGCGGAGCGAAGACGAGCAGAACAAAAGCAGCCGCAAAAAACAAAAGTACAGACGAGCAGAAATATAAAAATGAGAATCGCTGGTGATTTGAGAAGCTACGCTGAGATACATCATGATGTTTTTACTACCGGTTTTTATTTTTGGTGAGCTCTCGCCGCCTGTTGTGCCGGTGCCGCTCTCCCCAAAGATCATCTGCCACTCAAACAGTATGGTGTGGGCGCAGTGTGGCGCTCCGACGGCTCCCCACTCGGGTTTCCTGTTCAACACGGTTTTTTTCTCTTTTCCTTTATGGTGTCTGTTGGCCCCAGTCACAGCCAGCTGTCACCCCCTGAAAATAGCTGCTCAGTTTTCCTTTTCATTCTTCACAATAAGCCAGATAAAGTCTAATTCAGGAGTTACAGCACTGACAGCAAACAGATCAGCTTCACTTTGACGTTTACTGTAAATGCAAACTAAATCCGCTTTTATTGGCAAAGTAGTCAGTCAGACATTTGCATACACAGATAGACGTTTGCTGATAATGTGGTGTCAAAGATAAGCTGATGCGCTCTGATTAAATTAAAATAATGCATGAACATTTCCTTCCCTCTGGAAGTTGCAAATGATTATGAGAATGATATAAACATTTGCAATTAAAATGTGCAAATTGGTGTGAAGGGAAAAAAATAAAAATCCATGGCATGTCACTTTAATAAAAGTCCATCCAGTCGACTAATAAGCGCCGACAGAGTGGATGTTGAGGTATTTATTATCATTAATTCCAGCTCATTTCCATTGAGGGGTAAATAGGTTTTCCATGCTCTACGAGTAAACGAATGGAGAACACGGAGCACACGCGTGTAGCATTCGACATGACATGACGGCGCCAGTGCAAATGACTGCATGGTTATATCACGCAGCAATTACACTGTCTTCACTTAATTACGTGTTGAAGGATTTGGAGGGTAGAAGGGGCACGAAGGTCAGAGCAGCAAGTTGGAGGCTGAAACGGGGATGAAGCGATTAAAACAAAGAACACGTATGTACGAATCTGGAACCAAACCACAGCTGAAGGGAACCTCAACTCAGGACAGGAGCAAAAAAACACGGGAGTTGACCAAATGTCACCTGGATATGAGACAAAACACTGTGTGTAGTTCAAATGACAAGCAAAATTAAATACTTCAGTTATTATCTCAGTTATTTCCCAGGCCTGGGATAAATAAAGTATTTTTCGATTCTATTCTATTTTGCTCATAGAAAAGCAGCATTTTGAATGATTTAAAGGATATTTTAACACATAAAAAGTAGGTAAGAAAGATAACCAAACCCTAAATTAAATCTTTTTTCTTTACCCGTCTTATCTCGTTAGATGTCTCACAATATGTTTCGAGCTCCTACATCCAAAATCCATTCTTAACGGGACACGCTCCCTCAGAAATCCATATTTACACCAGAACACACACATATATACGCACTCGCAGAAAAACCCGTCCTGTCATGAGATTAGTTATGGTCGTGGCTGGCTGACTGTAATGGATCATTCCTCATTGTGAATGCAACCTGAATAGAGGGTGTTGGTGGTATTAACGAGTGTGTGTGTGTGTGTGTGTGTGTGTGTTGCCCTTGGGCAAGCTGTCTTTCTGATGCCACGCAGCTCTTAATGCACAGCACAAAGGCTAATAGGTAATTAATATGCAATACACACTCATGCGCCTGCGTGCGCTCGTGTGTGCGTGCGTCCGCGACGCGCGAGGTTAATACGTAATTAATATGCATCACACACTGGCATCCCAGGCAATTAAGGATCCAGCGGTGTCCGCTGACGCTTCTTAACGAACGTCCTCTTTAATTGGAAACATTTCACTGTAAACATGTTGATTTATATGACTGGCTGTCGTTTGGTGGGATTAGAGAGAGGAAGCGATTAAGGCTGAGCGATGGGGGAGGGCGTCGAAAACACAAGTTAAAGTTAAGGACCACATACAGAGTGTCAACACTGGATTTAAATTCATTTATATGGACGCACACAGTATGGATCCAAACACACAGAAGCATCCAGACTACTCAGGCGGTTCTGTACGACCACGCTGCGTATCGTTGGCTGATGCTTACACCTAATAGCATGGAAGCAGCATCATGACGTAGCTGCTTCAAGTGGAGCTAATTTGAACCATTCTGAGTAATGCAGCCTAATTGATGGTTGTGTGTGAGTAGAAATGACCACGAAGCGAACGCAGAAGCTGAAGACGTCCAAGAAATGTTCTGTGGACTAAAAAGCACAATAATTACTCTGACAGTTAGTGCATTAGAATCACAAAGCAGCAGAAGATACGGACGCTGTTCCTGCTGCAGCTACGTTCTTCTAATGAATGTCAAACATAAGAACATAAGAACAAAACAGAAGCTCGTGACTTCCATCTTTCCTCCAGCTGTAGGCGGCAGGTCTGACAGGAAAGTAAACTTTGACAGAAGAAAGACAAAAAACTGACGAGGCTGAGTTTCGATGCCATGCCCACATTGTTAGCAGATACTATTGTGAACTAATAAATAGCCTCAGAAACACAGTAAATATCCCGTTCCTGTGTTTGTCCCGCAGCAACCTACTGGTCCAAGAAACACAAACACAACCTATCTGAGTGTGCGCTCGTCTCAGGCCTTCATACCTTCACCTAGTATTGTTTCACTGCGTTTGTGTGCGTGTGCATGAGCCGCCGAACGCTCATATTTGTGCGTGTCTGTGTGTGAACACAAACAAAGAGCAGATGATAATACCACAATAATATACAATCAAGTCAATGGGCTCTTCCTGTCTGCGGGATGACAGACGAGGTCATTGTTCGGCGCCCATTTATTCTCACAATCAGGCCACAAGCAGAAACCAGGAGGTCAAGCGGGTCAGAGCAGTTTTCGAACAAAAACCAATTTATTGGTCCAGTGAAAGTGGAGAGGGGAAGATTAAACATTAGAAATGATAAATCAAACGTCAGGTTATGCTGACCACATGTATTGGAGGAATAAGTCAAGCAGCCGTGACACCACACTATATATTATATTACCATTTCAGCATTTAGTTGACAGCCATGGACTCGCAAAAAATGAGTCAATGGAGCAACAACGGCAAAATAAAACTGCAGTCATCCACAAACAAGGCGCACGAGGGTCAGGATGTGGTGGTGCTCCGATGCTCCAGAGATACGTGATCCCAGCTGAAGGTTTGAGGTCATATAGA